GTTTGTGTACTCAGACCAGTAATATTTGGGGTCACAAGTTTTTGCCATGGATATTTTGTGGGTCAGAAGATAAAAAGTTTGGGAACCACTGAGTTAGACAACAAATGTCAGGAGGACCCTCACATTTGGGGGGGCATCATAAAATGGACCAAATAAATGTTCCCTTGCTTCTAGATAACTTTTTCTTGTCTTTTAATTATAATGTTTGTCCGTACACCAAGGCCTGATAAAAGAAGGACAAATGTGGTCGCTGAACAAATTAAACACCACTAACTTCTCATCTTTGCACCCGTTTCCAGACATCGGATCACATCTGATCAGTTTCTGATCGGATCAAAATTCCACAAAACCAGAACGATTCAAGGACACTTCTGTCCCGTTCTGACCCAAAGTTGAATAGGAAGAAAGAGGGGACAAAAAATGAAAGGATGACACTTTTTTTGTTGTTGCACATCTGGAAAGAGATTTTTTGTTTTTGCAGATTCACTCACCTTTTTCTTTACAAACTCCAGCGTCTGGTTGGTGTGCATCAGGCTGTAGGTTTTAAAGACTCGGTTGAAGAGAATACCGCCCTGAAAATACAAAAAAATACCTTCTTTAAGATCGCTAAGATAACAATATTCAAAATAAAATTTTAGTACCCCATTGTGCTATTTTATAGGAGCAATGTTTATTATAGAAGCTGGAACAGAGAGAAGCAGCCCCAAGTAGTCAGAGATGACTACTTGCTTGTTTTTCTTCAAGAATTTTTACAGAAAATAATTTCAGTAAATTGTATTGCATATTTCTGTTTGTACGTAGTCAATTTACATCCAGTTTTTACTTTTTTTTAACAGATCAGTAAAAAATATTTGTCCATCAATTAAAAAAATTAAATAAATATGGACACTTTCATGACAATCCTCCACATCTATGCCTTGATCCCTAATTGGATTTTCAAATGGAAAGACTTAAATAAAAATCTTTTTGTGTTGAGTTTTAACACAAATATATATTTTTTGTGTCTGCAGTTCAAAAACATGGTTTAAATGTTTTTGCTGAAGTTTTTCGTGACACCGTTTGTACATTCAATTCAATTCAAAAATACTTTATTGACCCCAGAGGGGAATTAGGTAAAATGTTTGACCTGTTTTAGCATTGAAATAAAATCTTTCTCTAATATAATGTGTGAAGATAGATTTTTAT